ATAGAAAATACTATAAGTAGAATATACAAGTGATTTTGCACAAATGCATTAAAATAATTCATGCATATTGTCTAATTGGCTATAAGTGTTTCCCAAGTTATACAGCACAAAAATAAGCAATGTTTCAAGTTGCATCCCAAACCAGGGAGTTTTGGCCCTAAATGATAACTAGCAACATCCATAGTAATTAGCATTAATTTTATAATTGAGTTTAAATTTTAAATACTCCAGGATATAAAAATGTTCATTAAGTAGATGGAGGAACAAAAGGATCATTTTATAACAATTGTGGCAAAATCTTGCATTAAATTACAACCAAGAAAATATGTATCCCAAACACTATTCCCTTAATTTTTCATGAACATTTCATCTTTCTAAAGTATTCTTTCATCACCTCTGGCCTTCTGGGTCTGGTAATTGAGTTGATTTGATTTCTGAACTATCACTGTTACTGGGAGCATCTGCACATAGCTATTGATTTCTCAATACAGACCTATCAGATAAAATTAAAATGCTGCAATTTGACCAGAATGTGCACTCTTGCCTTATATATATGACTCACAGTATGCTGACACTTGAAAATTTTAGCTTTTACTACCCAAAGGGGATATACTTTAAAAAATAAATAAATAATCTGAGGTTTCCTACACTAAAACAAACCTTCACAAAGATTTACACTGGGATGACTCCAACACAATGCAAATTTAAACATAATCCTACACAAGTATTGATACCTAACTTCTAATGCTAATTCACACATTAAGATTCACTTGATTATGCTACTTAAACCTTTACCCTACAATGTATACTTTTTCCCTTATCAATTATTTCATGCTACACTGATAAAGGGAATTTGCATTTTTAATGTCTGTCTGCATTCCTTGTACCCTCTCTAGGCTCAGGGTTTTTAAAAAGTTATTTCAAATGCAACTTCAGTATCCTATGCATGGGGAAAATCTTCCATCCAAGCCAGAATTGTTCCTGCAGACACTGAGCAGTCAGTACTCCAAGGAGACTACTTGGGAATGATGCAAGTTCCATAGGTCTCCAAGCCCCAGTCAACTAGGTATATGCACTTTTCATCCAACGAATAGACCCTATTTATCTGATACACACAGCCTCCACACAACTGTGATGGATTCAGACTGTAAATGTATTTCTACAACGCTGTTTTATAAATCTCACTGAAAACTTTTAAGTTAAGATGCTAAACTTAACAAAAGCAAAAACAAAACTGGCCTGTGCAGTATCACTGCTATTACCACTCTATATAAAGCAGTAAGTGCACATAAAGTTTTGGGCATTGTCTCTAACTATAGAAATTTTGGAGTAACAGACATCCCCACCCCATACTGAAAATTGAACCCAGGGCCTCTGTGCTGAGCTCTATCCCAATCTCGCTTTACATTTTAAAGTAAGGTCTTGCTAAGTCACTAAGTTGCTCAGGCTAGGCTCAAACTTGGGATCTTCTTGCTCCAGTTTCCCAGAGCGCTGGGATCACAGATTTTTACAACTAAGGGGAATCTTGTGAGTCATTTTATCTGCTCACTTTACAGCTGAGAAAGGTGAGGGGAGGGCTGACCCAGGGAATCAGCATTTTTCAAGCCAGCCATGCTGATTTCAGTCCCGGGCAGGCAGCATTAATTTGGACTTCTCCATGAAGAAATGCAGGACTACTAGTTTAAATAATTTCACCCAAATAAATTTGCTAATGGACAGCAGAGGGAATCCAACTTCAAAGTTAATACTCCTCCGCAGAGTAATAATTCAGTGTGAACCTGGAACATGCAGCAGCATTACCTGGATAGTTGTTAGAAATGCAGCTTCCCAGGCCTCTTTCCCCAGGGACATTCCACCTATCTGTGTCCAACAGCCTGCCGGGGGGGGGGGGGGGCCTGTCGCAAGCTCAACTTTGAGAGCCACCGCTCCAATGCAAATGCACATTGTCCTTGGAGCTTCACTTGGAGCATGATATTGAAATATACAGTCTGTTCTCAGCAACATTCTTGTGTTCCTTGCAAATAGAATGATTTGACTGAACAATTTTTATGATGGTGCCAAAGTGATACATATCCAGTACTTATTTTGAATTTTGATCTTTTCCTGGCTAGGAATATGCATCATGACACTCTCTCAATGGACAGCAGCAGTGAGCTACAGCTTTCATTCAGCCTCACAATCATAAGAGTAAACATACTCTATCTACAGTGTGCTGTGTTACTAAGCTACGATATTTATTAGGTTATGTGTATTAAAAGCATCAACTTTAAATATTTTTAACTTATGGGCACACTGAGATGTAAGTGGAGGAGAACCTGTATATAATTTTACATATTACTATAGCGGTCAAAAGAATTTAGTGTATTATACTTTATTTTAGGAAAGTAAGTCAGTGAAAGCCCTGGGTAAAAATTTGGATGTTAGTTACATGGTCTAATCGTCCGTCACTGGATTTTCCTCATAAGAAAAAGAAATGTAAAAGCTATTCCAAGTAAGCAGACAGTAAGAATCTAAAAAGACTGTTTTTAACTAATGTCTAAGACTCTTGAAACAAATGTTCTGCCTGCCTTGCAAGGACCTACTGAAATTAATGTCTGGTCTCACATGACTGACTTCATATTACTCACCATAATTAACACTAGGTACAGGAAAACCAAGTAGAGAAATACTGAATGCATAGCATTTAAGGATCTAAATTAAAGTTAATAAAAGTAGTTGGCTCGTTAGAAATCACATTATGAAATTAAATTAAAAACTAAAATTTTCATGATGTGACTTGTCCAAAGTTCCAGTTTGGAAGTTTTTCAAGTTCAAAATACCATGAGGGAAATGTTGCCTTCATCTGAGTGCTTCTCTGCCCCAAATCCCCAACTCCAGAGGACAATCACATTTGTGTCACCATAAATTCAAATATTCCCACTGGAGACACTACCACTTCACATGAACATCTTGGCAAGTGCACTCATCAGAAAGTACTAATTAGTTTGCATATGCAGTTTTCCTTTAAACACATGTCACTGATTTCATTATTTGACATTCTAATAATGTATACTGAATACAGGAAATTTTACAGAAAAACATTTTTAAATGTAGTGATATTAAAATATTTAAAGATATACAAAACAAATTTTTAGATAATCAAAAACTCAGAATGAATACAAGGCAATCAAGTAAGGGTTAAAGGGAAAATAAACTTTTCTATTTTCAGGCGATCTATTCCTTGTGACAAAACAAGAAAGCTTCATATTAAAATGACAAATTTCCAAGGTAATTGTTTGCTTCTAATTTATAATAAGCTCCTCTTATTAAGTGAACGACCTTTTATTAAAGGTTCTTGAGATGTATAGGAAAATTCTCTATGTATAAACAGTGTACCTATGCCTTCTGGTATAGGCAAATGAGACATACTATGAAACAAGGCATGTGGTATCTAAAAATTCCATACTCATGTAAAAATCTACCTCAATTTATCTAAATAGAATTTTGAGAACATAAAAGACATATTAAAATAAAACTCTAAACTGGTGTGGTGGTGCACGCCTGTAATCCCAGCACTCAGGAGGCTGAGGCAGGAGGATCACTCTGAGTTCGAAGCCAGCTTGGTATACACAGCAAGAGTATTTTTTTTTAAAGGGAACTCAATTTCAAATTCTTTAAGCTGAATATCTCATAAATGCAGTATCACAATTTTTAAAAGTCAGCATTCAGTATTTTACTCATATAAGTCTGTAAATGTCAGATAATATTCATCTTCTATTTCTGCAAATCCTTCCTGAAATATTATTTAGTAATAAAGAATATTTCAAAAGGAGAGCTGGGAGGAATGTAGAATTATAACAACTAGAACCGCCTAAACTGAAAACATTTTATTTATTTGCTAATAAGATTGTGGAAAAATACTGTTTTATTATTAATTTCTCCTTTATCCTTCTTTAAAGACATTTTATTTCTTTAGCCAGCAAACTGAGGATTAGTACTACAGCCTTATGAGAAAACTTGGCTTCCAGAGGAGAGAGACCTTCCAACCTAAACTGGCTTTGCCCGAAAGATTTTAAAGAGGGCGTTAGCATTCTTCCTGACAGGAGGCCGTGTACCTTTGAGAACATTCATTTTTAATCTTGTGAGCTCACTTACAGTCTCATCTACAAAACAAGGAAATTTATTCATCAGCTTCCAGGGGAAAAAAAATTAATGTAAGGAACTAATTAAGCTAGGACAGATGCCAATATGTCAATTAAAAAATCAAAATTTACTTAAAGGAATAAATATAGGTATATTACACACACCTAGCAGTCTTTCTAAGCACCAGAAAACATTCATCTAAGCACCTTTAAAGCTGCCCTGCTTTTCAGTTTCACTGTGCTTGAGATTCTGATGATCCTTTAAGAGAAAGTCTTTGTGACAAAACAGACTTCCTTCGATCAAGGTCGTAATTTGAAATATTATACAACAATGAGATTTAAATTATCTATGAGAAGAAAAGTAGAAGACTGAAAAATAAGGTATCAGAAATCTCTATGTATCTTTAGATTCAGAAAAATATAATTACAGGCCAATGATGTTCTAAAAGAGAAAGGACATGAGCAATTGCTTGAATGTGACTTCTCCCCAGCATTTCCAAAGGCCTGAAGTGCATCACAGCTGCTGTGATCCCCCGGACTTGCTGCCTAGTTTCAGATAATCCACAGAAGGAAACCAGTTGGCACTTTTGCTTTTTCAAGAGACAAGGTCTCTTTATGCTGCCCAGACTGTCTCCAAACTCCTGGGTTTAAGGGATACTCTTGCCTCAGCCTCCTGAGTAGCTGGGATTATATCTGTGTACCATGGCAACAAATTTTCAGTACTTTGCTTCCTGAGAGGCTGAACCCTTAAATACAAAAGTGCAGCAAGGAGGTTTTCAACTGTTTACTCACCAGGTCTACAGTATTCAATACAACAGTCATTCAGATAAATAAACCTTGAGAGAGAAGATAATAGGAAGGAAAGCAAAGCAGCAGTAATTCACACTCTCAACCAATTTAATGGCACTTCCTTCTGAAGCAGTTCTTGGATTAAAAAGCAGCAGCCTAGCAGAGAAGTCCCTCTGGAGATCTGTCCAGCATATTAACAAATACTTCCTAACTAGTTCTAGAATCCTAAGTAACGACACATGATCTGTGTGATGTGAGAATAGTGCACGTGAACAAAAAAATAAAAACCTAAGTTACACCTCTTACCATATTTGAAGAATTATTTTAAAATTTTAGTTTTAGCTCCTTTGCCTTAACTATTTTGCCCTATAAAAAGATCTCTGTGACCTGTTAAATGGCAAAAACAAAGAACAAATAAACTTCAACCAGAATTAGTCTCTGAGTACTGAAATGTTTTTTCAGTAAGTTCCTATTTTTAAAAAAATTCCTTAAAAGTCCGTATGTCTTACATGCCTCTATCCTGTCAAGCCAAATAGGTCAAAGAGTAACAAAATCAACATTACTTTTAGGTTAAGAATTATTGGTGACACCAAATGAGAAGACAAAGCTGCCTGTTTTTAAGTTTAATATCACAATCTCTTAAATTAATATAAAAATTCTCAGGACTACTCAGAAAGATGGCTAAACTTCATTTTAGACTCAGGGTAACAACAAACAACTTTAAGGCTATAAATAAGACAAACAGAAGTGGGTCTCTGCAAAGAGAATTTTTAAAAATTAGATTCATTAAAAAATTTTAAAGAGAACTAAACTATTCTCACAAAACTTGAAAAGGGAATGGATTATGAGTAATCAAAAACCTGCAGACCCTAACACATATGCTCACTGATAGCGAACAGAGTCCAGGAGCCGATGGGTAAGCACATATTTAAGAGTTGCAATTAGGAGTATTTTATACTTGTCTTAATACTGGCAAAAGAAAAATTCAAATGTAATTTTAAAAGTAGAATGCCTCCTTAACTTTCTTTTTTTGATGTTTTATACACTAAAAATTTACTTAGGAAAACAAATTATTTAAAGAAGCATACAGTTCTGGAGTAATTTGGGATATTTATACAATGTGAAATCTATGATACATCTGATACATCTATGATATACAAACACATATATAAACATTTTATTTTAATAATCCTCTATCACTTCAATTTAATCATTCCATTATGAAAATTTCTTAATTGAAGATAGAATATTTCTATAAAACTCTAAATTAAACAGAGTTTTATCAATTAAATTTATAGCAATTAGAAATACAGTGCTTCATTTTATAATATTCCCCCTTCAAAATTTGTCATAGTTTGTCACATTTTTAAAATATAAGGCACCTAATGCTATGAAAGAATACAGTATATGTAGTATAACTGTACCAGATCTTTTCTCAAATATTTATTCTCTTTAAAGTTCCACCAAATTTGCATGAACATACACACTTGTTACATAAACATTTTTTCTGTGTAGTTAATTTGCAATATTCTACAAAACTCAAAAATATAATCCATGCCTATTAGAGGCTGTTTATGTTAATCATTTTACCTGTCAGAAATACTGATCTACATACTTAAATGATTTCTTGAAAACATTTTTATAATATAGTCCAGCATTTAACAAATATGTGAAAATAAAGTCTTCAGAACATTAGGATTTTATTCTCTGATTAGTCAAGTGATTTCTTCAACTGAAGTCCTTGAGATATGTAAGGCAGGGTAGTCCTTTAGATGGACTGTGGTCTGGAACTTCCTATAATTGTAGTGATATGTACACAGCTACATAGCAAAATACTTCATTATGAAAATGAAGAACACAGACATGAGGAAAATATATTTTAGAGTTTCAAAGAACTGAAACTGTTATTTCTCAGACTAGGCACTGAAACATTTTTCTACAAAAACTTGCCAGAGATTGTCTCTTCGCTGTATAATATTCCACCACCAGGCTAAAAACAAAGCAAAACAAAAACAAAAATAGATATTAGATTATAATTTTTATAGATTTTTTAATGTATAACTTTATTATCATTCACTAAATACACATATATACAAAAATTAAAATTATTCAAAGAAAAGCAATGCAAGGGAAAAAAAAAACTATAATAATATTCAAATATAATAGAACTCAACCAAAGCAAAAGTGAAAAGTACTTAAACATTTTTCCATATAATTTTTTTTAAAATCTCAAGCATTAACAAGACATCAGAAGATGTGATTTGTTTTAGAAAGATTTTTAAAACTAATATTGAACAAATAGTGGTCTGGAGAAAAAATTCTAATAATTTTTATAGTTTTAATCTTCTTTAGTTTATACTTTAAAAAGCAAATTAGAGTGGTACCTCAAGAACTTAATTCTTTTCACAATTCTGGTCACAAACCAAATTGGATGAGAACTGAATCAAATTTCCCCATGAGGTCAACAATGAACCTAACTACTGAATTTGATTCAGGGCTGGGGATATAGCTCAGTGGCACTATGCCTGCCTCACAAGCGCAAAGTCCTAAGTTTGATAGTTTGATGGCCGTACCAAAAAAAAGCAATATGAATTTGATTCGGTTCTCATCTAATTCAGTTTGTAGCCAGAGCTGTGGGAAGGATTAAGTTCATGAATCGAGGTACCACTTTATCTTAACGTTGAAATAGGTATCTCATATATATATACATATATAGGGTCTCTGGGCTTGGAAAGCACCAGGTAGTATTCTACATGGCTCAGTTATTATTCACATTTATTTAGCCATAAGAGTATAAACAATAAATATAAATCTATCTGAAATTATGCTATAACTATAGAGGGATAATGGAGTGGTATGAATGATACAGGACTGGGAGGCAAGCTCATCTATGGGATAGAAACAGAGATCTTCATTTACATTAGTGAAAAAGTCAATGAAGATACCTAAAATGGAAAACTCAAGAAATAAAAATATAAACATGATATGTAAAGATACAAGGAGATAAATACCAAAAGAATCACCTAAGAGTTTAAAATGATTTCCTCAAAGAGTGGGAAAAGAATAAAAGCAAGAATGGCCGGACAGGGGAGGGTGCGCCAGAGAAAACTGCTCTGTACAAGTCTTGTTTGAGTCAAGTTTGAGTCTAGAACTCAAACTATGTGCATGTGTAACCATCACAGTAATAAAAACTATATTTAACAAACAGCTCGGAGAGGTGGGGGATGAGCTCAGTAGTAGAGTGCTAACTCAGAACATGTGAGACACTAGGCTTAATCTTTATCACTGAGGGAAGGAAAAAAACCCCACCAAAAAACCCCCACAAAACCAAGATAATTAACCTTAGATTAGAGGCAAAGTCTGTTTGGGTTTTTTGGGGTTTTTTTCTTTTCTGAGATAGGGTCTTGTTACATAGTTTAGGCTGGCCTTGAACTCACTATGGACCCTAGGCTGTCTTCAAGCTCACGGCAATTCTCCTGTCTCAGCCTCTTACAGGTGTGCACCACCACTCCCCTGAGGAAAATTTACCACGAAACTTTAGACTCAGGGCCAAAGTGAATGTAGACACTAGTTATACAACATTCTATGTGGGTAGGGAAAATCTAGCTTCAATTGGAAAACATTTCAATAAAAATTGCCTAAAAATAGCTCAGAAGGAAGGGACCTGAATCTCCAGAATTCTAGTTATTTACTGTGCTCTATTATTCTAAATAATCAGTTTTATACCTGCCACTGGATTTATTTCAAGCATTCATTAGCAAACCACTAAATATAAGGTACTATTTCTGTCCTTCAAAAAATATAAAAGATACTGTTTCCTATTGAGAAAATGTTCCTGAAACACTGCTAAATGAAAAAGCAATCAGAGTCAGGATTCACATTATATCAGTTACCTAAAACACACATGTACAGAAAATACTGGCTATACACTAAATTATTACATTTTTTAATAGAGAAAAACATTTTTCTAGAATATATCATTAAATAAAATGATGGCCCTTAGCAATAAAAATAAATGTTAGAACTTACTGATCACTTAATTTGAGTCAAGACCTAATTTACTTACAAAGTATTTCATACTTCTAACAACCTTATAAGGGAGGCTACCTACTGAAGCACCATTTCACAAATAGGAAAACTGAGGCATAAAGAGGTTAAGAAATTTACCTATGGCCACACAGCCAGCACACAAAAAGCTGGAATTAAAACCAAGGAACTCTGACTCCAGAGATTATATTGCCTTTAGGCTGTACTGCCTCTCAAACATCTAATTGTGAATATTATGAGAATAAGAACCTTTATTCAACACTGATGCCTGCTCACATACAAACCTGAACTAAACGGCTAACTAGCTCCATCCTCCTGAGAAACACCATGCATAGGAATGAGACTCTCACACTGTTCACTGTCTTCTGGAGCTCTGAAGAAAAAAAAAAAAAAGCAAAGTTAAGCTTAACTTTAGAGTTGAAAGGGAATCTTCAAAATGGTCTATTATACTGATTCAAATTGTAAAGTCAGGATTCAAGTTAGTGGTGGAAGAAAAGAGTAGGGCAGGATTCCCCAACAATTTATTCCACATTCTTTTTGTATAAAATGTAAAAAGCATTCTCTCTTTATTTCTGCTACACTGAGAACTGAACCCAGGGCTTTTGCACTGAGCTACATCACCAGCCCTTTCTTTAATGTTTTACTTTGAGACAGGGCCTCCCAGTGTGTTGGTATGACAAGTGTCCAGCTTCATTCTCCCTTAAAAAAGAAAGAAATTTTAGAAAGAAAATCTGAGGAAATGTTAACATATTCTATTATGGAACCAACAGAAGTTTTCTACATTTAAATTCATTACAGAAGAATAGTAAGCACTTTGGTTTTATCCATCAATTATAACATTTTCTTCTAAAAAGTAGCAATGAAGAAACTATCTCATGACTAAAACGATTTGAGTGAAATTATTTTTTCCTGGCATAACACAAAGAAAATATAATCTTTGAATAATTTCTCACAAAATGTCTAAAAGCTAGGAGAGTATGAGATGATTCTCATTTTACTTTGCAAACAGTTTGTTAAAATCTATATGGAAATGGGCCAGGGATTTAGCTCAGTGACACCACACCTGCCTCGAAAGTGCAAGGTCTAGAGTTCGATCCCTGCTACCAAAAAAAAAAAAAAGAGAGAGAACAACAACAACAAAAAGAAAATGAAATAAAATCTATACAGAAACTAAACTTACCTCTGAATTCGATGTTTTCTGCATATAAAGGCAAAAATTCTTCTGATTCCTACCATCACAGGATCCCAATTATTATAATGGCACAAGAGAGTTGCAATAAAGAATGAAACAAATACAGGGATAGCGCCTGCAAAAAATAACCAAGAAAACTGCACCTAAAAATAAAATATCCAGAAAAAAAAATCATTAAGGCAAATTTTACCTTTAATGTAAGTTTTCCATCCACGAACACTAGCATGACTAAGTTAAACCACCAAGAAGATAATAGTATTATTAAATACCTTAGTATTAAATAAAAGAATTTAGGACTTCAACTTACAACTCCACTTGCCTAAATTACCAACAATACTTCCTACTTGGAAAATGGGAAAAAGTCAAGAACACATACTTATCTCATTTATTAGACATAGTGCACCAAGAGTAAGAATATCTAAAAATAACACTTTTGTCCTGCACACCACATTCCCCATCTCTGCTTTAGTGATTACTGCCTATTCTTGGATGTATTGCTCCCCCTCAGTTTCTGATGTCATCTTCAAAACTCACAGTTAAAAAAAAAGTTATGTTATGTTACAGCTCTTCAGGCAGTATTAAAATCAAATGAAACTCTGAGGTGCAACTTTTGCAAACTTTTTATTAACTATTTGCAACAAATTCTAATCATGATAGTCAAAACTGGCTTGGATTATTTATCTAGTAACAAATGAAAAAAGTACAAAATGAAATAATGACCAAGTAAAATGCAGATATAAAGGAATATTTCTACTAAGGAACGTTAGCCAGAGAAGACAAGCAGCAAGACAAGCCTCGGTGGGAAACAGCTCTCTGATGTCACTAAGTGTGATGTTCTGATCCATTATTTATCAGTGTTATCAAGAAAATTAAAAATGAGACGCCATAGAGTTACCAAAACAGAGCAAAACAAAACCCTTTTCTTTTCCTTTTCACTAGTTGACCTTTGTCATCTAGACTCAACTAGGTGTCAAAAACAGCTTTTAAAACCTGCACTGATTAACTCCCAAGACTTAGGAGCAACATCACTGGTGCTTTGCTTTAAAAATAATAATGACAATAATAACTCCTATCTTTAAATCAGGGAAGAAAAACTGTTTTCCCTCTTTAAATTAAAAAGAAAAGAAAGAGAAAAAATGTTTAGAATTTATAGGCCAGACTCCCTCTTGTGGAAAACATACACTATTCCATTTAATGGCACCATTAATCAGAGTAAAGGGTTTTGTAAGAATAATGTCTTAACACGCATACCCTGTATGTATCACACGTACACCAGAGGCTAAGCAGGCCTAAAAACACCCAGGTAAGAGTAGTTATTAAGAGAAACTAAAAAGCCTTCATTTAGTTGTCAAATTATTGGTAAACTAACTTTTCTTGGAATATTTGCCAGAATATTTAATAAGATAGAAATATCAGCACAGAACTGGTTTTTTTTTAGAACTGTTTTTCAAATAATGATACGCATCACTGAGATTATTCTGCCTTTATCCCCAAATTGCACAAACATCTAAAGAAAAGCAGCTTTAAAAATTTGATTATTACTTGTACATGTTACAAGCCTTTGGGCTTTCAAGTATTCCTTCTTCTAATTAAACCAAAACACACATACAGACACACACACACACATGCACACACTCTCTGTTACTACTTGGGAGTTATGTGGCTCTCTTCCACCTTTCAGCATTAGGCAAAGGTACATCTCTCTCCTGCTACCCAAGGAGGGTCCCCTTCAAGGCTGGGAGCAGAAGGCATCTCTTTTCTGTGATGTTATTATTGCCAGTATTTATCACCAGAATCCCTGAATCCAGAACAAGACTTTGTAGAAAAGGGAAGGATACCTGGTCTACTGAGATGAATGGCCACTGAGAAACCACAGTGCTTATGAGCTGCTCATTTCTACAATGGTACTGTCAGAATGTTAAGGAAGTTTAGCATCTCTGGAGTTTAACTCAGAGATCTTATAAAATGTACCTCTTACTCCATACCACTGATTTAGACCACAGACATCTACAACCAAATCAGCTTGGAACTAGAGCATTACATATAAAGAAATTGTCCTTAACTTAGAAATTCAGAAAAAAATGAAAAGCTAAAAATGCTTTCCTTTGGTATTTTTTATATTACTGTGTAGTAAAGCACCTCAGGAAAAAAAGTACCAAAGTATTATTCATGTTTATGGTCCTTATGCTTTAGATACATCCCTTAACTTTCATTAGATCTGTTTTAATATCATATTTAAAATATTGGGCTGGGGATTTAGCTCAGTGGCACTGTGCCTGCCTCACAAGCACAAGGACTGAGTTCGATGCCTGGTACCAAAAATAAAAATACTAATAAATAGTTTGCCTTACCTTCTGCATACACATATCAGCTATTATGGACAGAGGTATTGTAAGGCTGAGTGCAAGGGTACCTATCAATGATGAGGTAAGAAAGCAGCCCCTGAAAAAAAAATTTCTACGTTTAAAATATAATTTAACAAAGATTTTTCTCTCCTATACTATAGGCATGAGAGATCAGGAGGACAAATAAAAGTTTAAGATGGACTGAGATGCAAAGAATAATGTTATTAACATTTTTCAAAGTTTATCTTCAAACATTAAAAGTGCAAGTAAGTACAGAAAGTTCAAAGTACTTTATGCTATTTTTGAGCATAGATATTATCCAACTTTGGATATTTACTTTACATTTCATTAATTTAAAAAATTGTTAAATAGTTTTTACAGTTCGTTATAACATGATTAACAAAGAAAAGAGCAGTATTAAAATTACAGAACAATACCTCATAGATTTTAAGAAAGTGATAAGCCAACATGTGACTGTCACCAAAGCAAAAAAAATCTCACCATAAAGAAAATTATTGTTATTGCCTTCGTTCAGCATAGAAAAAAAAGAACTCAGTATTTTAAAGACTATTTTCCTTTTTTTCATTTATCTAACAATTGTCCTAACTGAAAGCTAAGCTCTTTATTTTTTTACCATGAATTACCAATGTTGCACCAAATTCTGAAATATTAATCTGCATAAAATTTTGTGTAGTTGAAAAAAATATTATAACACATAGAGACAGATAAGCCATTTACAAAAAACAACAATTTTTTGGGTATACTTGTATAAGAAGAAAATAAGTTATTATCATCTTTTAAAATTCAGCACATATTTTGATATTTATCATGCAAAGAACTGTAATATAAAACTTGACAGCATTAAAAACTTATTTGAGGGCCGGGGATTTAGCTCAGTGGTTTTGCTGCCTGCTGCGCAAGCGCAAGGACCCGAGTTCAATCTCCGGTACCAAAAAAAAAAAAATTTATTTGACTTAAACCTGCTTTTCCTTACTTAGCTGATGGTTGAATCTTTTTGTTATCACTTAATTTTCAGCTTAAAACAACACAGCATCTAAAATGCACGTAATGAAAGTTGTAAAAATGAACTAAATAAATACACTCTGATATTAAGAAGTTTTATATCAGCAAAGGAGTACAAATTACTATAATACAAACTAATTTGTAGTATTATACAAAAAGGAGTGTGTGGAGAGGATTATGAAGAAAACAGGTATCTCCAAAATAAGGAAGGGTGGGAGAAGTGTATAGGCAGAGTGCTAAAGAAAACTTCATGGAAAATACTATTTGTGTTGTAGTCTTTTCCAAGGAAAACTATTCAGTAGTCTCATTTGGTATGCAATAAAATTTGTTTGGGAATTATCATTTGTATTTTTTTCAAAATTCCTATTGGACAGAAACTGGTAAAAGTATACAGCTCTGTATTGAAAAGGTCTCTCAAACTCCACACATGACACTGTGTCCAATCTTATCTTAAGTTTATCATAATCAATGTATTCAAAATTATAAAATCAAAATATGATAACATCTCAAATTAATCAGTTTATGGTTTACATATCTGGTCCTGAAAACAAACAAAACCAAAAGGTGTATGAACAGCCAAAGTCTCTTAAGTAAGCAACATCCTCTAGCTTCTCTTTTAGAACTCATAAATTCATACTTGACATACACATCTCATAAGTTTGGTGTCCATTAGATAATGACTACTTTCATTACAAAGTGCTCTGCTTTCTAAAACACCTTTACAAGTTTAGAACTTCGTATTATTTGTTCATGCATTTGTATTTACTTATTCAGTAAGTACTTTCGAGCTTTTATGTGGGCAAAGAGAAGTCAAATACAAAGTCCCTGTTCTAAAGGAGTTAATATAGGCAAATATGGGCATGAAGGGAGGGGTAAAAAAGGAGAGGCCATCAGAAGTCAGAAGAAATAAGTATACACTTAAACTAACCAGAAGTCAAGAAACTGATAACTAATATATCGTAGGAGAATAAATAGTACATACCACAACCACAGGAACTCTGAAAGAACTGTTCCAATAAGGCCATTAATGATAATGCACATTAACACTACTTTATTAGGAAACTCAAAGTCCTCAAATCCAGTATAATGAAGTAAAAAGAAACCTGGCCACAGGAGTAGCAGATTAAAAAGACCTACAAAACCTAAATGTGGAAAAAAAGATAAACAAATTAAAATTGTTATTTCAATTTTCTAAACTTATAACCCTATTATTAGAAAACATTAGATTTTACAAGAAGGGATCCAACAAGGTTCCTTAACTGGAACTTTTTTGTTTCTTGGTCTAGTGAGCTCAACACTAGAAAAAACTGTATGGAACAACTGTCTTTGAGGTTCAACTATTCATTCTCTATGGAGCAACTACTCCACACAAAATGAAGGGTTTTTAATCTAAGTGAATAAATATAGTGTTTTAGAACTTAAGAGTATTAAATGGTATATATGTGTTTACGTGTTTAGCCTAAATTAATTGTGAGGAATTAGGTAGCTTACTCTCTGATTCAATTTGTATTTAAAGCACTTGTGTTAGACTAGGAAAACTGGAGAAAAATTCCAAAGAAGATAAAATTCTTGGTCTTGCCTTCCCAGACATTACAAGCTAGTTGGTGAGGTAACATATATATGCAAACAGTTATTCAATATATGAACTAAGTAAAGACCGACTGCTAGTCTGTGCTGTACAGTCTGACTATTGGGGTTCTGCTCTCAACTCTACCACTTACTACTAATGTTAACCTGATACAAGACGCAAAAGCTGTCTCAAAGTCTTAGTTTTCCCATCAATAAATATAAAATAATATTTAATTAGGTTGGTGGGAAGATTAATCAAAACATTTATAAAATTCACCACAATGCTTGGTACATAGTAGGCACTTAGTAAAGTTAGCTATTAGTAATTACCAAAATTAAGCTTATATATGACTATGTGCATGTAAAGCTTAGAAAGGAAAAAAAAGATTATACTATAGAAACTTTAATTGCACTTTCTATGTATCAATGTCACAGATCTGCTATGAAATCCAGGTGGTAACTATAGAGCTTTCTTTAAAATATTAATTTAAAGTAGATATCCATTTTAAAGTTGCTGCATCACTAAATACTCAACTACTATTCTTTTTGTTTTTTGGTACTGGGGATCGAACTCAGGACCTTGCGCTTGCGAAGCAGGCACAGTGCCACTGAGCTAAATCCCCAACCCATTCAACTACAGGCCTCTTAAGAAGCCTGGAAAGTCTCGCAGCTGCCCCATTCTCTGAAGAACTGTCAGTGAACAGGAAACAAGTCAGCCTTCCCCAGAAAGTCTGCACCCGGTTACCTCATACTCTGCTGCCAACAGCTGCCTGACTGCTGGAAGATACATGTTAGCCCTCACAGCTCAACCCAGGATGGCTCTAAGGAGTGCCTAGACATGATGACCTGTGCCCCCTCTGTCCCCATTCCCACTAATAAGTGGATGAACTGCACCAGGGACCATGTGGTTCTTTCCTCTTCTCTGTCCTGCTTCCCTCACTCCCTTTTTCCCTCAGAAGACCCCCTACCCTTGCTCCAACCAATAAACCCCCTAAACCAAATCCCTGTCTCATATTCTGCTTTAGAAACCCTTAGTGTATTTAGTGATAAAAAGCAAACACACAGAAAGACACTTATGCAGAAGTGACCCATGACCTAAAATAAGTAACATTAAAAATCACTCTAAGTAAAACACCAAAATTTGACATTATCAAGAATCAAATCCATATTCTGTTCCATGAAGTGCCAAGTCCATGAAATTCCACAAAAATTAACAACCTTTGGACCTAGAGACAAAGTCAAATCACTTCACCTATTCCCCAGATCTTCCAGAACCTCACCCCATATACCTTCCTGCTCTTTTCTTTCTTTTTTTTTCCTGCTCTTTTCTTGAGGTAAATTTCTGGCAGTCATTTGGATCCACTTACTGTGCCCCACAATGCCTCTGCTCATGCTCCCTTGCCTGAAGAGCCCTCTCACATCCCTGATTTCTTCAAATCCTGCCTCCTAAAGCCTACAGCAAACCATCATTGTTATACATCTCACACGACATATGAAGACCAATATGATGAGTTACATGCTGAGTACTCTCACTGATGAGTAGATTCGTTTTTCTTGCCCAGTGAAAAAAAATGCCACTGACTCAAGTATTTGTGTAAAAACTCAAAAAATATTAGCACTCATTCCATTCCAGATAGAATTTTCTATGACTAAAATGTCATAAATTATCTTCATCTGAAAGAAAGATACATATCTTTCTGTTTGTGTATATTTGTAAAACAGAATAACGATGTTCATTTTGGGGAGGTGGTTCACGTATGTAACATCTTGATTATTTTCAATTCCTCTACCTTCCATTTCTCTGTCCCACCCCTTCCTGCTCTCTTAGAGCTTCCCTTCTAGTTTCCCATCATCTCACCTTTATTTTATTCATTTGTTTATTTATATTTTAGGATTCTCATATAAGAGAAAACACAACATTTAACTTTCTGAGTCTGGCTTATTTCGCTTAGCATGATGGTCTCAAGTTCCATCTGTCTTCCTCCAAATGACATGATTTCATTCTTCTTTTCCATTGTGCAAATATACCATATTTTCTTTACACACTCATCTGTTGACAGGTACCTAAGCTATTTCCAGAGTTTACCTATTGTAAATGGTGCCAATAAAAACTACAGGTATGGGATATATCAGTAGTGTGGTGTCTAATTGTTTTGGGAATATACCTAGGAAAAGTATAGCTGAGTGAAATGGTATTTCTATTTTTAATTTATTTGAAGAATCTCCATACAGATTTCCTTAACAGTTGTACTAGTTTATATTCCCACCAATGATATGGCTTCTTCCCACTCCCGCCTTCCTGCATCCTCATCAGCATTCACTGTCTTCTGTGTTCTTGAAAATAGCTTTTCTGACTGGGTAAAGACACATTTCTTGAATTCTATACTTAAAGGGAACTTAGGCTATCATTTAGTCCAGTTGTTTTCCAAATGTTTTGTTTCTCTTAATCTTAGGTACAGGTATTTATACTGGTTTTAGTAGAAAAAATATTTTTTACAAATTATAATGTAAAACATCCAGCAGCGCAGAATGTTCCAGAAGAAGCAGCATAAGTCCAAGAACCAGGCCCATGCAAATCCTCCTCCTCCTCCAGTCCGCTCAAGATCTTCCGAATTCAACAAATGAGAATTTGGAAGCCACTTACCTAGTTTAATATCCTCATTTTTCAAATAAGAACAGTGGTATCACAGTTCACAAATGTTTTTGTTTGCAAACAATTTGGTTCGAGAACAGAAATTTTTGTCAAAATTTTTGTTTTTGTTTGCAAATTCTGCATTGGGTGACGAACAAGACCGTGGTCATCTTTTTTTCATGAACACGAATGTGACCATTTTCCCAAGAATCATGGAATGAATTAAGTTCATGAACTGAGGTACCACTGTATATAATAAATGAAGTTACAACAGCTAGCTTCCAAGCTTCCTGATTCCTGTGGGGTGCACACTAAACATTCACTACTGACTTTATCTATTTATATTCTGATAGCTTTTGGAAGATATCTTGTCAATGTGCCCTTCTTTTGCAATCCTACAAATACCACAAGTTCTTGACTAGGCTGATTTTAAAATGAAAACCATATTAGATATTTTATTTTCCAGAACCTGATAGTTGAGGCCAGAAACTATTTTGGAACTTTGAGAATCTACATTATAAAAGAACACGTCTTGAGAGATAAAATCTAAATGGAAAGCCTTCAAACAGCCCACAATTTTTAATGAAAATAAGTATATAGACTGGAATAGTATCATATTTATCATTTTAGGCAGCTTAGCCAATACAAAGCTTCCAACATTATATTGCTGTTCTATTAAGAGCACAATATATAATACAGTAGGTAAACTCTCATGCTTATTGTAGGATAATTTTGTCATATCGATGAGGAAACTGATTCACCAGCCAAAGATATTAATGCAAAACAAAGTGTCAGCAGTTTCTTTCCCTAGCTCACATTAAGAGAATGGGTATGGCCTCATATGTACACAATAATGCAGGACAAGGTAGGAGAAAATCCTTCAGATCAGACTTCATCTTTAAAAGTTTCTTAAAAAATTAAAAATAGGGGAAAAAGGATTCCCTTTCCCCCACACCATAAATAAAAGCAAACCCTGAGTTAATCGTTTAAAGTAAGCAGTCTCTGGGCCAGGGATTTAGCTCAGAGGTTTCGCCCCCTGCTGCGCAAGGGCAAGGACCCAAGTTCGATCCCCAGTACCAAAAACTAACTAAATAAATAAATAAAGTAAAGCAGTCTCACAAACATAATCTTACCAAAGAACATTGGAATATCCAACTTATCTTCTCTGTCTACTTTCCTTTTAATCATAACAATGTACACAGCATAGAGCATGGCTCCAGCAAGAGACCAAATGGAACCTGTAAAATATCAACATAATGACTTCAAATCTAATAATATGTCAGATACTACTTTTAGAAATGAGTACACAAAAGTGAAAAGATAAGGTATAACCCGTATCCTCCAACAATATAGGAATGAATTTTAATATGTTAACAAATAAATGCAAAAGTATTCACCCTCAACGATCTAACCAACACTTACATATGTTATAATAATAAAGCTCATATGAGTAACATTTTGGCTTTAACTTGGAAATGCACACTTTCTATCTTTTCCCTACATAAACAATTTTGACACTGTCCAACTTAGCAAATGATTCTTTCTATCTCTAAGATGTTAATATTGGTTTTCCCATGCCACACATACTTTTCATATTCACCACCACTCCCATCATCAAGACTCTGTTACTATCCCACCTCTTCCACAGAGCATTCTCTTTCTACTTTGCTGGATCTTCAACCCACTTGTCTTCTATATTAGACAATTTAACATTTACCATTGTTAAATATGATATTACATTATTCTCTAGTGGCTACAGCTTGTAAATCTTGTTCTGTTTCAAATTCAGAACTCCTTAAAAACTACAAACACATAATTTACATTTATAAATGTTCCAAAATATCTAATATAATGTGGACCTCACAATATGTGAGTAATAAATACTGATTCTCTTCATTAACTCACTCTCAAAGTACTAATGTAAACCTTTAAAAACACTTGATAAGCCTTTAAAATAATGTGTTTCTGCAAAGAGACCATACTCAATACTTTAATCAATTATTCAAAAAGTTCATGTTTGGCCGGGGATTTAGCTCAGTGGTGCCACTGCCTGCCTCACAAGCAGAAGGTCCTGAGTTCAATCCCCAGTACCAAAAAAAGAAAAAAAATTTCATGTTTAATTGCATCAATTTTTAAAAACATTTTCAAAGTTTTTTAAAGCAAAGGGAAAGCTTGTCAACAAAACTTTGCACACACACACAGAAATAAATATATAAATTGTTCTATATACACAAAGCTGCTCTGGGTAAGAGATAAGGTGGATCAAGGCACAGTTCACTGGGCAGTAACCAAAGGCACGGTTCTAGACAATAAACTTCAAATTTCTAAAAAATTACATATACATAAAACCACTAAACTGGGTTCTGATTACCTTTGTTTTTGTTAAATCTATTCACTAGATCAAAAACGAAGTATTCACCATAGTAGTAATTGTTTAAGGTAAGAATCAAGAGTTAATGAGAAAATTAGTATGGGAAAGTATGATAAGGACAGGATATTTGTATAATCTCACAGTTACTTACAAAGAGAACAATTAGTAATGTTAGAATGGACCATACCGGCAGAATCCACATTAAAATTAATACCACTAGTAATGAGTTAAATCAACATTAGACCAGGAAATATTACTACTTTCATAATATTCTTACCAAAATGCACAACTTCAATTTAACCCTAAGGAAATATCAGACAAATCTAAATCAAGGGCATTGTACGAAACAACTAACAAGTATCCTTCAAAAGTCTCAATGTCAGGGGCTGGGAACGTAGCTCAGCAGTGCAGTACCGGCCTGGCAAGCATGAGGCCCTGAGTTTGATTCTCGATACCAAAAAAAAAAAGTGTCAATGTGACAGAAGACAAAAGACAGAACAGTTCCAGATTAAAGGAAACTAAAGACAAATTCAAACTAAATGCAACAAATGATCCTAGACCAGAAAAAGAACATAGGGAAACAAATGGATGGATTTAAAAAGGGTCCATAGATAACAGTATCGTAATCAATTTTAATTTGTAACTATACTATATTTATATAAACTGTTAACATCTGGAGAATTGGGTGAGGGTTATATGAGAATTCTATATTGTTTTTGTTTTTTTCGCATTATTTAAAAAGACAAGTTTAAAAAAAAAAGGCCCACCTTAGTGTCCACCTCTTGTGTGTGTGTGTGTGTGTGTGCATGCTGGACAGTAAGTAGAAAACTTTATACTCTGACAGAGAAGATTCAGAGTCGCACTTACCTATCATATCTCTTCCAGCAGACTTTTCAGACCCTGACAGGTTTACCAACACAACACCTCCAATGCTATAAAAATAACAGCCATTCCTGATTAGTAAAATAATCAACGCTTAGAAGACTAGCCTTATAAAAATTATTTACAAGTGATCGAGACTAATCTCAATTTCAGGTAAAACTGTTAAAAGAATTTAGTGATTACATAATTATAGCCAATGATATTATAAGCACAGTGCTATACTTGTATAAAGTCATTTAATCTTCACTACTGACATTCCCATTTTACACAAGACAAACAATGTACAAAGAGGTAAAGTAAGTTGACCAAGATCACACAGCTGGAAGTGAAACACAAGCAACCTGGCTCCAGAGTCCAACACTCTCATAGATTACTGTTTTTCTCTTATGAAATAATGAACTAATTTGTCGTCTCTCTGCCAATCTTTCTTTTAGAGATAAAAATAAACCCATACAAACTTAGCAATGGCATTATTCTTGCTAACTGGTAAAACTTAAATTAACAGTAACTCTTCTTACACATTTAAATAGTTCCATTAATCCCATGTTTTAACAGTAAGACTAAATTAAGGATGTTGAGAAGTCACATTATTTATCGAGTAACTATAATTTACTAGAAACTAGGGTTTTGTTTCAATTTAGATGATGATGATGATGATGGCTAAGTATTACTGAGTACCTGTTGTATACTAGACACTGCTTCATACACCTTAGAAGTTTTAACTCATTTTATTCTCATAACAAACCTGAGACAAATTCTATTATTATCCTCAACATATGGAAATAAGCCAAGAAGTCAAAAAAAATTCCCCAAGATCTCAAAACTAATAATGATGAAAGTGGAACTGGATTATAGATGATGAAATGAGATTTCTTAGCTCATCAGATTTCTTTCAAGACTGCTGAGGTATCAAATTCTTTTCACAGTCTCAGAAATTCAATCTCATTAAGGCCAACTGAAAATAGTATTATACAATTTTTAATATAGTACTCTTCAGAATATATCAAATACAAAAAAAAATTCTAAGTATCAAATTCACTAGACCGAAGGTCAAGCAAACTCTTTTAAGAAACATAAAATAAATATTTTAGACTTATATACCACATGGTTTCTGCTGCAACTCAATTCTGCTGTTGTGACCCTACAGTAGTATCATAGACAACAGGCACATAAATGAAAATGGATGTGAAACAATAAAACTTTATTTACAAAACTGATGGATGGCCCAGCTTAGTTTGCCCACTATTGTTCTAGACCTACTTTAATGAGAAGTAATAGAATCTATCAAAATACTTGCAAGTTCAACATCATTTATCTATTCCTACCTTTACTAAAACCTTCATTGGTAATGCTAAGAAAAATTAGCATAAATTTTAATGAAGTTGAATAAAACCTCATTTACTTCCTCAATACAAACGTATTTCCCTAATGCAAAAAATATGCTTGGCTAAGACATTAGCCAACCATGCAAAAGAATAAACTCCTGGTGTTTAAAAAAGTCTGAAAGGTAAGTGAGTTAGGTCAAATGGATTACTCATTGAAACTATTACAGTCAACTTTCCCTTACGTCTAAGAAAAAAAGTCAGTCAGAGCTACCAGTCTTCAGTGACTGCCAACTACCAAGCTATATAAGTCACTTTATATACACTGCTCCAAACTTTAAAACAAGGCTCCAAAGCAGATAATATGATCATCCTTTCCTCAACTAAAAAAGCTTTTCAAAGTTTAAGAGAATTGCACAAGGAGAAACAATCAAGCTCTAATTCAATCCCAGTCTGACAGTTAAGAAACACTACTCTAATCAATAAATCATTCTACTGCCCTCTTTGATTGCTGGTTTTCTCTCACAAAAATAACAGCTTTATCAAACTAATACAGTATTTCTTCAGTATTATCCATAATTAAGCAAAGCCCAATGCTAGGCTTTGGTGACACAAAGAAGTATAAAACAATGCCTTAGCCTTCAAAGGTTTACAATCCAGTAGAAAAGAGAAGACAAATATATACAAAATTAAAGTAAAAGATTTAAATATAGTTATTGACAATGCTGCTGCTATGCAGTAGTGTAAAATTTCCAAATGAATTATACAGAAAATAATCTGTGTAATTCACTGTTGGCTGAGACAATCAGAGAAAACTGAATGTTAGATTTCCAGGCAAAGTAGAGGAAGGAGAAATCAAAGCCAAAACAAAAAGATGAAATTGTCTTAGGAAAAGGAATAGATACCTTGGAAGCCATGATGATTAATTTCCCACATTAAGTTAAATGTGAGTGTTGGGATAAAACTTAGAAACTCTGCAATTATGTGAAAGGGAACAAAGCTGTCTTGGGGTCTTCCCCTTCCAGTTATCCTACCCAGGAAGGTTTGGGAACCAGTGCTAGCACATAAAGCAGGGCTGAGCGACAGAATGTCCATCAATGTCTCTGTACATTCTTTGATTGTGTGTTATGATATAAAATAAACTATCCTGCATCACAACCAAAAATTTAAACATCATATATATATATATATTTTTTTTGGCACCTGGGATCGAACTCGGGTCCTTGCTAAACATCGTATTTTTAAGCAGAGTAAACTAGCTTACACTGTATTTTTACCTTAAAATTACAGCTAGTAGTTTAGAAAGCGTAAATCTATCTCCGCTGTTACTTGGAAACACTGCAGCCAGGATTAAGGTAAAAAGTCCTATGAGAAGAAAAGGATAAAAAAGAAGTACATGAGCTGTCAATATTACCATTACCAATTTAATAGTTTACATAAATTATACAACTAACTTTTAAACTATTTTTTGATCATTTTTAAATAACTAAGAATGAGACTTTGTTACCTAGGCTGAAATGTACAAACATCAATACATAAAAACAGCCTCTAAACTCAACCATTATTTCAACAATACAGATCAAGTAGTCCTATTTATTTTTAAATAAAAGAGTTAAACTGAGCATTCAGAGTAACACTGTGACCTCATCATGACCAAGCCTGTGTGCTGAAGTTATTTTTACAGCTTCAAAAATACTTCTCTTATCTTCTAGATTTGGAAGGTGATTCAATTTTTAAAATAAAACCTCTACCATAAGGCAAATTATAGTTCTGAAATAAACAATTACATTTAGGCAAAAGGTTTATAAAAAGATCTTTAACAAAGATATATACAGGGAAAAAAATATATATATATATACACAGGGTAAGACAACTATAATACAAAGAGGCAAGCTGTACAACTTCAATATATTGTTGTATAAAAAACACTGCAATGTACCTGAAGAAGCATAAGAGGCACAAAGGTAAGGCAGGAAATTATAAATATTAAGAAGCAGTTAAAATATACAAATGACATTATAACTAACGTAAAAAGTTATAACAAGAGAGAAATATGTATATGTATGAACACACACACAAGAAATATATCAATTTACAATGCAGATTCTGAAAACAAATTTCTTACCAGAAGTTGAAGACAAAATATTCACAATAGCAACCTGTGTGTCTGAAAGTGCTTCTTGATATGACAAATTTGCCAAAAACCACTAAAGAAAAGACAATAAAGTGAAACCTAGGGAAAGGCATATTTATATCTGCCATTACCATTTACAGCCCCCTTTTTTCCTCCTCCTAAACACTCCTAACAGGTTTTAAAAGCTTTGTATTAAAAATCACAGGCCTTGCAAAAAAAGGGGCAAATACTTGTAAATCAGCCCTATAATCCTGCTATCCAATTTCCATTATGAAACTAATAAAATGTGGTTAAAAATATGCAGATATTTTTAAAGTGAAGGTAAAGTGAGTATCAAGTCAACTTTAAAATTTCCTTTATCCAAGCACAGCTTGCACTCCATTAGGTTTATCTAAATAAAATTTAAATTTGGGAAAATTCTCAAACATTACAACGTATAGATGAATAGCATAATGAGAAGTCTATTAAACTAGATGATGTCCATGGATATGAAAAGAACTAGCAAGACAGTAGATGGATACATTCATATTCACTTTGGAAATTTAGAAATGGTCCTATGACAACTAAATTCACTGGTTAGTTGTGATTCTCTGGTTCTCAGTTTGAATACCACCCAAAGAATTCTCTTAACTTTGGATATAGTGAAAGAAGTTTTCTAGCTGTGAGGACTTTTTTTTTTTCCTTCCTTCTTCTCTTCTGGTCATTTGTATTAGGATATTCTCATATTTCCAATCATGTGCCTACTTTGATTTAGGGAAGGAGAAATAATATCTCCTTTTGGTGAAGCTTGGTGTATATCCAAAGATCATTTATTTTCAGTGATAACTCATCTTTGTGTGGGTGTGAATGGATTCTTTAACTACTGCAAACAATGCTATTATGAACATTTTAGTACGTTACCTGCTGCATTACATGCATTTCACTGAAGTTTATTCTAAGAAGTGAACTGCTACATCAACTGAAATAATGAAACCACTAGTCTAATTGCTGTTGACATCTCTACTATATAGATCAACTGGAAAGTTATTCCATGGAAGGACTTGAGACAGCTCTTGATCTATTTCAGAACATTAAATGAGTAGAATAATTATTCATATTTTAATTTTAAAGAACTATCACAGCTACATGATCTTAGAGCACTACTAAAAGGTAGCAAATGATTAAGAGAAGAGTAGCCTCCATGTCTTCTACACTGTACTCAAGGCCAAAGCCAGAGGAAAACTAGAGCAAGGTAGTTTTAATCTGCAGTCCTGACTTCCTAGATAATTTCATTCACCTATCTAAATAACAAAAGGAACTCTCAGTTGATGAGATGTGTGATATTAAATATACACAGCGACAGAAGCTACAATCTCAATCTGCCTACAGATGAAGTGCTGGGAAAGAGGCAGATTCTGACATTATCCTTGGGAATTTTTCTGAAAGAACCAATAATGCCTAAAGGGGGATAATTAGCTTTTCTTCACTCATTTCTCTTATTACTTTAATACATAAATAGTGTGCTCATTTTCCAAACAATCTCACTGGTTCCTACTAATGCAAAGTAGAGAAATAAAAACAGATTACTGAGATGGTAGGCATTCAAAGAACTTAAGCATTGTTCACTACCTGCAAATTCTTTCCATAAAGACCTTCTTATTCTCTGCCTCTCAAGCCCAAGGCACTGTCGTCAAAAAAGAACACCAATTTTAACTATCCTCCAACAAAAATGATCATAAGGTCTCCCTTCATTATTCCGGAGTTGAGGACATCTACTAGCAAATAAGTTATATATTTCATAATTTCATGAGTATCATTTTTAAATTATCTTAAGATAGTGCCATTTAATTATCATTACATATTTTATAAACATTTGAAAATAAGAATTGTATATATATCCAAGGTATACAACATGATCATTTGAGATACACACACACACACACACACACACACACAGTATTGATTACCACAGTCCAATTAATTAGTACACCTATCACCACTTGCAGTTACCATATTTGTGTATGTGTATGTGTATGTAATCAGGACACAAAAACTGCTCTTATCAAATTCCAAGGTATTCTTATTTATAGTCAAAGAGGTGAAATGTACAGAACTTACTCATTTCACAGTTTAAATCTGACCAACATCTCCCTATTCTTTATCCCCAAGCCCCTGGAACCACCATCTACTTTCTGCTCTATGCGTTCAACTTGTTCTGTGCTTAGCCTATTTCACTTAACCTAATGGCCTCTACATTCACCCATGTTGTTGCAAATGGCAGGATTTCCTTTTTATAAAACTGTAGGTTGAAAAAAATTATGTTGTGTGTTTGTGTATCATTTTCTTTACCCATCCTTCAGTGGACACTTAAGTTGTTCCTGTATCCTGACTGTTGTGAATACTGTGCAATGAACATGGAGTTGCAGATATCTCTTCAAGATACTGATTTCATTTCCTTTGCATATACAATAAAAGGTACTCTTGATAAAGGCACTATTAATGGAAAATGAATAAACCACCATAGTTCCTAATAAGACAAAAGATATTCAAGAAAGATTGGAAAATACAGTAATCAGTAACTTTTTCCGCCACACTGTCTAATATGTTAGATATTAGACACATGGCTACTATACAGGTGAAACTGACTAAAATGAACCCCAATGTGTTTAAAGTACATACACACTGGCTTTAGAAGATTTTAGTACCGAGAAAGTTTAAATTATCCTATTAATAATTTTTTTTTTTTTGGTACTGGGGATGGAACTCTGGTCCTTGTGCTTGTGGGGCAGGCAGCAGAACCACTGAGCTAAATCCCCGGCCCTCCTATCAATAATTTTTATAGTGATCACATGTGGAAATAATATTTTACACAGTCTATTAAATTAAAAAATTGTATTAAAATTAGCATCACTTCTTTTTCTCTTTTTTAAACTTGAGACTATATTATATTTCTACTGAAGAGCACTGCTCTTGATTTTATCTAAGCTTATCATTTTATTAAGCCAGAGTTCCAAAAAGTTATATACCTGGACTATCTTATTCTAATTTCCTATAAAAATTCCTTTACTGAAAACCTACAAAGTTCACTAACTCTCACAATGTATTTCAGGTTGATTCTTCTAATAAATACACTTAGGATGGAAGTATCCCTATAGATAAAAGAATGAATAAAACGTAGTATATCCACACAATGAAATCTTACTCAGCCTTGAAAAGGCACATACTACAATACGGATGAAGCTATGGGACATTAAAGTGAAATAAGGCAGTCACAAAATGATAAATAATGTAGGATTTCACCTATAAGAGGCACTCAGAGTAGTCAAATTCACAGAACCAAAGCAGAATGACTGTTACCCAGGGCTGCAAGAGGTGGAAATAAAGAAGTACTGTAATATATTGTTACAATTATTCCATTTTATTATTACTGCTGTTAATTTCTCACTATCGCTAATTTAGAAATGAAAACTTTTTATAGTTAAGTATATACAAGAAAAAAAGACACAGTATACAAAGGTTCAGTGCTCTCCCTGGCTTCAGGCATGCACTGAAGGTCTTGGAACATATCCACCACAGTACCTTTCTTGTTTAAGGTTGAGGCAAAGTTTTGCTTTATCCAAGGAAGGGAGATACCTCTTTTTAATAAACAAGAAGTTGTTTATTAACTCAGAGGTTTTCCTTCTGGCTATCTTTCCACTTTGTCTACAGATCAGTTACATACCCATCTTAGGTAGCTTTCTCCCTTTAAATTAAATTTCCTGATATAATCTCTAACTCCACAGCCAGACCCTGTCCTCATTACACATTTAACTTGGCTGTATATTTTCATCCTTGTTTTAATGTTTAACACTGAGATGCTTTCATAACATATCACCTCAGGGATCCTTGGAAGGAACCATACAATTAACAGATTTTAGTCCTGCTTTACACATTTAAAACAAGCAATCAGAAGTCACAACTGATGACCCTTTAAAGTTTAAAACTATTTTTATTATAAATATAATCATATATATGTATGATCATGTAACAGTTCCAAAAGATTTTCTTTTGATTTGCATAGAGGAATGTATTTATCAAGTAATCACTGAAATAGAGGCTATTTGGCCAGGGGATGAAGAAAAATGGGTAATTCAATGGATATAAAAGGCAATATTAGAAAGCAAAATACCTTGTAATCCAGGCCAATAATATTAACACTGGCATAGTACACTGGTTTAAGGTGCTTAGTATAAATTATATCTTAAAGGCTCACATTAAACAATTTTATATAGGGTACTTCCAATAATATATGTACATGAAGTAGCTCTGAAATCCATTTTTAGAATTCTCAAACTTGGGCAAGTTTCTGATTCTAATTTAGCCCAAAATAAAAATACTTTATTATACCATTATTCTCCTTGCAATCTTACGTACATTTCCCAGATTCTATATTAAAATAACACAGATACTATAACTTATACTACAAGAAATTCTATAAAAATATTCACTATGAGTACTTGCTAAAATAATGCTCAACTACATTTATATAAATTTAATATAAAAAACACTTATCTGAAGAAATAAATGCACATGGTAAACTCTTATCTGGATATTTACTACCCCTTGTATAAATCACAGTACAGAATATCTCTTTTCATTGTTTTGGTCCCAAGGCAATGGAACATTCTGAAGAATTTCTAAATTGTGTGTGTGTATGTATGTATGCGAATGAACAGGTATGCTATAGGATTTACTGACTTCTAATTCTTTGAGGTATGAGCATTTGCTAACTTTTATATTCTCCTGAATGATGCCACATGGCAGCTTAATGTCATACTTGGCCTAATAGTCTTACACTTCAATACTAAATTATTGATATATGTGTGTGTGTGTGTGTGTGTGTGCGCGTGTGTATAATGTAAAAATTCAAATTCCAAATATGTAATAAAGAAAAGACCTACCACAAAGCAAAAAAAAAAGCTAATTTTTGCTACTTGAGTTGCAGTCAGCTTCCCCACAGTTTTCAATATGGATTCTTGGTCTTTCACAGTAGGATGGGCCATTCGAGACAACTTTGCTTCTAACGCGTGGCTTGATGGAAGCTGCCGAATCTCCATGATATTACTAAACCTTACTCGAGACTTTTTGAGAGCTTAAAAGAAAAGCACAGCACAAAATCATCACATGTACGGTTTCTTCTAACTAAAGTCACCAGTTTTAATTGTCATAAATATATAGTTTAATTCATTTTTTAATCAAAGAAAACTAGTTATACTATTACCTTGAGCAGCTTTACTCACTCAAAATAATTAACTGGAAAAATAGTTTCATCTATAAAAATGTTGTAAAGAGTTTCAAATGAGGCCAATATTCAAACAAAGTTTCTGCAAATGTATGTATACACAAGTGTCTGGCATAGGATTTTCATATGATTATTACTTTAGCATTTATATTTGGATTTTTCTTCATGGATACCCAACTTATGAAAATTATCTTCCTGGAAAAGCATGCAGAACACTCCTCTTTAGATTTATTCCTTGCAAAGGAAATTATGGATAAATGCCTTACATTGAAGCTGGGATCCTTTAACAGATTCACAAACTCCTATCACTTGATAGTAGGGTCTTTGAGGGTATGTTCAACAGAATAGTGTTCATTTAAAAAAAATAATAAAGGCTAGATGTGATAGTGCACATGTGTAATCCCAGTAATCTGGGAGGCTGAGGCAGTAGGATCTCAAGTTCAAGCCCAGGCTGGGCAATAAAGCAACTTTGCAAGACCCTGTCTCAAAATAAGAAATTTTAAAAAGCGAATGGGATGTAGCTCAGTGCAAAAGTCCTGAGTTCATTCCCAAGTACTGCAAACACACACACACAATGAAACCACAGAGATTCTGGTATTATTTCTAGTTGAAGTAATACAAAAACAGTCCATTCAAATGTCCAGAGCACTTCAGGCCAAGTCAATCCACGTGAAACAAAACTACCAGGTGATCCTAGACAACCTACAAAATCAATAAGTTAGGGGGTGACCAGAAGGAGAAAGTTTATTTCAATCCATTTCTCATTCTTGAAATTACTTACTTTTTTCAGTATCAATATTTGTGTTCTCAGGTTTTTCACTTGGAAGGTCATGAAATTTCACAGGAACATACAGTGGTTCACTCTAAAATGTAACAGAAGCAAGTATAAACAGCTCAAGTAAAGGCTGACATACTGACTAAAATTTAAATGAATAGTATGTAGACACAGATACCATCCAAAACATGGCTATTCACCAGTATGTTTATATAGCATAACTTTCCCAAAATACAGATTAAAAACCTTGAAAGGAAGTTCAACTGACACACACAGATACAGTGACAAGGAAAAATCAACTTGTGATATAAGAAATGTAATATAAGACCTTTGGCACATTATGGCAACTAATATTTAAATATCATACAAACAGACCTCTCTCCCAGCTAACAGATTATCTTCCATCCCTTTCTACTCATTCTTTTAGAAAATACACACTGAGTGCCAGGTATGATGGCATGCACCTGTAGTCCCAGCTACTCAGGAGACCGAGGCAGGAGGATCATTTTAGCCTGGGAGTTTGGGGCCAGCGTAGGCAACACAGCCAAGATCCTGTCTGTCTCCCCCAAAACAAACAAAAACATATGGAGCTCCTACTTGTCAGGCACTGTTATCGGTTCTGGGGTTCTGGGGATAAGAAACCACAATAATCATGCAGTCTAAAGAGGAAGGTGGACAATGAACAGATAACCAAATATATAGTATATATATTCACATACAGTATTAGCCAAACTGTTTTATTACATATGTTTCAACAAAAACCAAAAATTGTTGAAAACTTTTACATGGTTAGTAGACAACAACAAAAATAAAAATTTCTACTACTTATCAGTTCTTACAATGTACCATATACCAGTCCAGAGCAAATAAACATATATTTCTCGTTAGTCCTCAAAATAAATTTATGAAATATATATTTTAAACTTTTCTAGAAGCAGATATATAAAATAACCAAGTAGTAGACAACCGAATTAAAGCCAGATTGTCTAACCATGCTCTACAGGCCCATTTTTTTTTTTTTTTTTTTTTTTTTTAATACTGGGGATCAAACTTGGGACCTTGCGCTTCCGAGGCAGGAGGCAGATCCACTGAGCTAAATCCTTGGCCCGAAATTTGAGTTTACATATTCTTTTGTTTGTTTGTTTGTTTTGGTACTGGGGATCAAACTCAGAACCTTGCACTTGTGAGGCAGGCACTGGAACCACTGAGCTAAATCCCCAGCTACAGGCCCATATTTTTAGGTGATTCTAAATGCCTCAGTAGCTTTTGTAAATATTTTCTATGTGGTCTTTATTAAAAGTACAATTCCTTAACTAGGCTATATCTTAAAGATTAACAGAACTTTTTTGGTATCTCTTTGATTTCTCTTTTAATTCTTGGTATAGAACTCTAAAAATGAAAAATATTCCATAAATGAAAAGATAATAGGGTCTGGAAAGTGACAATCTTTTCATTACATTGAAGTTTTCATTATAACATTTGGCCTCAAGCAATCTGACATATCCATCTTAGATAAAAGCAAGAATTAGTAGAAGAGTAGTCAGGAATGTAGGCTGCCATCTCAACTTGGCCTTCTGCACTGAGAGAAACAACTGATACTACACTGTCTTGTCTATGCTTAAGATTTGAGAAAAGAAATGGCATTTTCACCAAGCTTAATAAAATTTTTCCTAGTACCTAGTATCCTATTCGGCACACAGCAGTCCTAAAAAAGTCAACAATCAAAAATCTGTATGTCCAATAAGGTCATCAAGCCAATGCTTCACAAACTGGTACAATGTTAGAGTAACTTTAAAACTTTTCTCACAATGCCACATTTGGGAAAAAAAAGTACTACTAAAAATACATTTTAAAGAGATGCCTTAGGGATAGTCTTTTTTTTTTTCGGTACCAGGGATCAAACTTGGGACCTTGTGCTTGTGAGGCAGGCAGTGGAACCACTGAGCTAAATCTCCAGCCCCCTTAGGGATAGTCTTAAAAGAATGGACTATACAAACTGTGTCCAACTAGACTATAAAAACTCTAAAAAAAACTTAAAATAAGTATGCTATTTAATTCATTTGCCTATTACCTCTTTGCTCTGCCTCCCCACATATTCTAACACACTGAAACAAAAATAGGTGTTTAAATTTTTTAAAACTTTATTACAGTTAAAGACACACTGCCATTAATCTCTCTCACTTTGAATACACAACCCAGTGTTTCTGCCACTTTATGAAGCAGTTCTGGAAGTCCTGATCTGTGCCTATAGTGCTGTCATCGTTACCTCAACGTCCTGAGTTGATTCAAAACGTTTACCTCTCATTATCATTTTGACTTTGAGGAAGAGCCAGAAGTCACATCATGCCAGATCTGGTAAATAAAGTGCATGAGGATACACTGTAATGTTTTTATGAGCCTGCCTTACACTGGATGGCACTCGGCAGCATAATTCACTGTATTTTTTGTCACACCTTGTAAGACACAAAAGAGAACTTCCAGAACTGCTTCAGAAAGCAACAAGAACAGCCATGTGCTATGGCAGACACCTATAATCTCAACACTCAGGAGGCTGAGGCAGGAGGATCACTGTGAGTTCAAGACCAGAAAGCAGCAAGAACAATCAGATAAGTATGTTCAAAATGAGGGGAAGTATTTTGAGGGGGATTGACGTTAGGCAATATATCTTTTGCTAAAATAAAGTTTTATTAATTTAAACATTCACTTTATTTTGATCAAACCCTTGTAAACTTTATTTCCAGAATCTAGAACAAGTGTTTTACATATATTAGTTGCTCTAAAATATTTTCTGAAATAAATGAACATTTTGGTTATTCTCAGTGTCAAGCAAAAATGTTTCCAAATGATAATAATGAACATGAAGTTGGAAAATTGGAAAGTTGGTAAAAAAAAAAAAAAAAAGGATTGTTTTTTATTATTTTCAACCCTTAACTAGTTTACCTCTCCCCTTTCTCTTCAAAGGTAGCTGAATTGCTTACCTCTAGGTTCCAGGTCTCCCTAAGGAAAAAAAGTAACACGTTGTAATTCTCAGAGGGCACCCAATATTGCGTTACATCTCTTAATATACCTATGGTGCCATCAGAACTATTTGAATTCTTCCTGCCATGGCCAAACAAGAAAAGAAAGACGTACCAAAGAACTAGTCATAGTTGTATCTGTTGTGCAAGCAGCAAAGTAACTTTCAGCATCTGCAAACTAAATACAGACAACAAAACATAGCATTCAATTAAACTTATGGTGTAGGACTACTCAGACACCATTCAAACAAATAGAGCCAAAAATCCAGAATAGACCTATAAGAGTGTATTAGTAATAACTATTGTTACTGTAGCTAATGCCAAGTACTCAGCCAAGCAGGGTAGGTATTAACATTTTCTCCGTATTAATGAAGAAATTGCGGCTGAGAGATTTTTTCAAAGTAGGAGAGATTAAAACTCATTTTAGGATTAAAACTCATTAGTTGTCTAGTGTCAAAGCTTAAATAATTTGCCCAAAATCAAACTACTGTCAAGTGACAGAACAAGATTCAAACACAAGAGTTCACCTTCTGAAAGAACCAGTATAAATCATTTTTTAAATGGAATTAAAAATAGAAAAGTAGACAAGACACAGACAATATACAAATTCTCCTGTCCAATAAATATGAGGAAAAGTTACCTAAAATATGCAGATTAAACAAGATACTACTGTTCACATATCAAATTGTTAGAATGCTGGCAAGGGTTAAATCTCATGCATTGCTGAGACAGGAATTGGAATAAGCATTACTGATTGTAATTTGGCAGTAACAAGAGCTTTACTCTTATGCAGCACTGTGCTTTTAAAAATTTAAACAACTAGATTAGTATTTAGAGATCTCTACTTATTTATATCAGAAAAAAAGCAAAAAAACTTGTCTAGGGTTAAATAAAATAGGAAAAGAAAAGATGATAAATTTTATTTATTTCCCAGGAAAGACATTCATGATACATTAAGTAAAAAATAAAATCAGGTTAGAAAATGATAAAACTGGGCCTATTTCTACTATACACAATTTTTAATATAGACACACATGTGTGGAGCTATAGATAGTATCAAATATTTACAGTGGTTTTTGTTTAATGGGTACAGAGTTCTGCTTAGGATGATGAAAAAAAGTACTAGAGGGGCCAGGGATTTAGCTCAGTGGTTACACCACCTACCTTCCTAGCGCAAGGACCCAAGTTCAATCCCCGGTACCAAAAAAAAAAAAAGAAAAAAAAAAGTACTAGAGATAAATAACGGTGATGGTTGCATAACAAAGTGAGTATACTTAATGCCACTCAATTGCTCCTTTAAAAATGGTTAAAATGGCGGCTGTGTGGAAATGGCTTGTGCCTCTGCACAGTCCCCGGCAGACCAAGCCAGGTTTATTTGTATCTACCCTGCTTATTTAAATAATAAGAAAACCAACGCAGAGGGGAGGCAGATCCCAATAAGTAAGGCTGTTGAAAATCCTACAGCTACCAAGATTCAAGACATATGCTCAGCAGTTGGACTCAATGCACTTCTTGAGGTAAGTCAGTAATGTTGTATGCAGCAGAAATGATACCTAAACTGAAAACAAGGTCACAGAAAACAGGAGGTAGTGACCCAAACCTTCAGCGAGGAGAGGGAAGTAAAAGAGGAAAAGGAAAGAAGTGATCTACTGTGAGCATCAAGTATGTGATCCTACTGTGAGGGACATGATGGAGGCTTCTTTGTAGCTAAGGGAAACAGCTTTTTGTTTGCCATCAGTCATGTGAACTGTGAACATCTGTGCCTTCTATCTTCATTATCGGAGTTGACAATGAAATGAATACATCAGAAGTACAACACATTGAAAATGTACATCTAGCTGTTATGCAGTATAAAAGAAAAAAATTTCTATCTTTCAATGAAGTTTTTGTGGAAGAATAAATATTTTTAAATGGTCAATGGACTATTCCAGAAGTTAACAGAAATCTGTATCTGTCCTCTGTGTAAGCACGTATGTCAGATAAGTAAGTTTAATAAGATTTGAAACACACATTTTGTTCACCTTTTAAGTCAATGAAATAAATTTTTAAACTTAAAAAATGGTTAAAATGGCAGATTTTACATTATATTTTATAATATTAAAAAATAGGAAAAAAGAAAAAAGGTTACAATGGTAAATTTGATGTTACATATATATTAAAAAGAAAAGGATTAATATAAGGAACAGTTTTATATTTTTCATTCTCAAAAATTCAAAAGTTTCTAATTCTACAAGGAAGATTTGCCACTACACAAAATATGTACCCCAGTAGCCCCTGTATCTCGTTTCTACTAGTCTTTGTATTTCGTTTGTACTTTTTTTTGGGGGGGGTACTGAAATAGCATCATTTCCTGTCTTACCTAATGAGTATATTAGATAGATAGATAGATAGATATTTTTTCTTTTACCGGGGATTGAACTCAGGACCTTGCACTTGCAAGGCAGGCAGCGGAACCACTGTGCTAAATCCCGGGACCAATTTTCAATATTTTGAATAAGCGTGTCACATTAGATCAATGAAAGAATACAATTTGACTAAGCAAATACTTGAAATTTAGTTTTTATTTTAATATAAAACTGAATTATTTTGTTTCTACAATAGACTTTACAATTACATAGATGATACTCATCCAATCTGAAAATAACCTAAGCCTCTAGATACTCTTATTCCTCACTGTCATCTTCTTTCCACATTAACTGATTCGGGCTACTTCAACAATTTTTAACAACTGAAAAGATGTCATGGGATAAGGGAGATGGAAAGTGATTATACACTTTTGATTTCTTAGGTATTCTGATATCAAGTTAATTAGAGTATATTTAGAATTTAGAGTATTTTTAGACAAAAATAGGTTTTTCTTGTATTCTATCATTACTCACTTTAAACAACTTAAAATCTAACTATATTTAAAGAAATTAATATCTCTTTAAACCTTGAAAAATTATACCCTCCCCAAACAAAGTTAAAAACTTACAAAAGCAGCATGTTTTCCTCGAAATCTTCTTGTACACTGTTGCCTCCATGGCTTCCAAATAATAAAGCCCAAAAGGTACAGAACAAACATAGATGTTTTTGCAAAGGTGCTGAAAAATGGTTTGTTGTATTGCGTGAAAACATACTGTAGAAGAAAAAATTACACAGATAACTCTGAGAGGTCTTTAAACCTTACCACTCATTTCCAAGAGAACAAAGCCTTCATATGATTTTTCATTTTTTAGAAGTTTCTTTGTACAGGAAAGGTCAAAAGGGATTATAAAAATATTCTAGTTTCATTTCTGATACTGTACTTGCCTTGCATATAAAGGTTCCTTTTGCCAAACACAGCAGCAACAACTTTCAAAAAGGTTTTGTTCAACATCCACTGAAAACCTATCCCATAACAAACCTGTGCTATGAGCTAAAGAAAAATAAGATAGGCTTTCCTGCCCTTGAGAAGTTTACAATCAAATAAGAGAGACCAATAAATGAAGAAAATACAGCATGATGTTCTCAGTACCATGACAGGGGCACCGGGTGCCTTGCAAAGACCAACTGGAAGGTTAAGGAAGTTTCCTGAGAAGCTACTTCTGAGCTGGGTGTGAAAGGCCGAAGAAGAGTTGGCCTCAACACAGGAAACACCATTTCAAAGTTAGTGAAACAGAATGGTGTATGAAGAAAACTACATGAAGTTTAATGTTTTAGGGAGTTATACAAGAACCTACAATCTTCATATAAACTGGAAATAGCAGTATAAAGTTGTCATTTTTGTCTACTGGGGAAAAAAATCATGTGCACTGAAAAGGCCTAAAAATTTTGACAAACCGGGAGAAAAAACTCTAGGGCCCAGGTGATAGTCTGTGCATTTTGCACTAAAAGAAACCATAGTCAACTCCAAGAATGAGGCAAGAAATGCACATGATAAACCTAAAGCATCTTGTGCTGGAGAGCAAATAAAAGATTATTGGAGTCATACCAAAAGGACCCCAGAGTCAATCTCATGGGGCTTCCATTGGTCAAAGACAAGATAGTTTAACCTTTAAAAGAAATAATAGCTTCAATAGTTTAAAACTTATCAAATATATAAATATATAAAAATTAAGAATTTACAATGATGCTAACAATGGTCAATATGGAAGTTGCCAGGTAATTCTATTCTAAAATGAATAAAAAGAGGGGAAAAATTAAGATTTATCCAATTTTTATATATGAACTATGTTTAGTCATGGAAAAGTTCTCCTTAAAGGATTTTAGCTAAAGAATACAGAAGGAGTGATCCTTAGAAAAATAATCATTTTGTAACCTTTATCAAGGCAGTAGTCATACAGACATTCACCCATTATCTAAAGTTTGATGAGGAATTTTACAGTGCTTAAATTGGCATCACCCAAAATAAGACTTGTAGTCATTTTAGGACCCACATTGTAATGTCACAGGAAGTACCTAGTTATTACCAACGTATTCTTTCCTAAAAAGCTCAACCCAAGTGAAGACTTTTTATACCCATCATTTTGGGGGAAATAAAAGAAAAGAACAAATTAAATGACAAGGAAGCAATAGCAAAATCAAAATGTGTGACATACCTTAGAAGAAAAGTGACTTTTTTAAACAAACCAATGGCATGAAAAAGGGGAGGGGAAATGCACATAAGAAATAAAAGAGGGCCAGAGATTTAGCTCAGTGGTTACAGCACCTGCCTCACAAGCTCAAGGTCCCCAGTTTGATCCCCAGTTTGATCCCCAGTACCAAAAAAAAGAAATAAAAGTGAATTCAAATATACAACAAAAGGAATATGTGACGTTTGTTTAGTTCCAAATAAACCTCAAATGAAAAAACACACACACAAAAAAGCAGATGTCCTTAATACAAGTGGGAAAATTTGAATATCAACTAGTTTCAGGTGATTTTAAGGAATTACAGTTAATTTTTTCAGATATTATTAATGGCACAGAAATTATGGGTTTTTTCTTTTTTTTTACAGCAACTATGTTTTTAAAAACAAAAGTAATTTTCAGTTTGAGGCAAATGTAACTAGAATTTGCTTTAAAATATTCCAGGAAAAAAAATTTTCACCAGCGGTGATAAGAATGGAAAAAATTGACAACTGTTAAAGGTATCCCATTCTCTCTACTTCACATATGCTAGAAAGTTCTATAATAAAAAGATTTTCTTTTTGAAATACACAATTTATCTCAAAAATTTGTGAGTTTATCTGTCTGATGTATTAAAACTTTACACAAGCTCTTGGATAAAAGTTGTTAAATATCCTCTTACTAAAACTTAAAAAAAAAACAAAAAACTTTTTTCCCTTAGATTTATTGAGGTACAACTGAAAAGAACTAAATATATTTGCTAAGTACTATACAGCATTTTGATTCATGTTCTATATTGTGAAACAATTACCACAAACAAGTTGGTTTTTTTTTTTACTTTGTTCAGATATGAATCACTAAATCATAATTTATTCAGGTGATTTTTGTCTAAATTTTCCTACCTAATAGGTAAAAAAATTTATTCATAACTATAAAATTTACAAGTTAGGTTTAGTTCTCTGCCAATATTAAGATTTCTTTGAGGTAAAACTACAGAATATTAATCTAAAAGATTATTGGACAGTTTTAAAGAGAAAAACAAATGACCTGTTGAATTCCAGAGCCTAATTCCACAAAGGGTAAAAAATTATTTATTCATAGGATATAATGTCAGTGTCAACTGTTACTTAGCTATGATGTTAAGAAGATCCCTAGTATCAAACTGCCTCTTGTGATATTTAAATTCTTTTGTAAACGGTAGTTCCCTTTTGTATGGGTTTTTGTTTTTTGTTTTTTGTTTTTTTGGTACCAGGGATCGAACTTGGGTCCTTGTGCTTTCGAGGCGGGCACCGGAACCACTGAGCTAAATCCCCGCAATATTTTTTTTGTACGAGGGATCAAACTGGGGTCCTTGAGCTTGCGCAGCAGGCGGTGAAACCACTGAACTAAATCCCCAGCCCTGTATGTTTTGTTAAGATTGCAACATGTAAGTTGAAAGGTAGGTAATTCTGAAAATAAAAGTTGCTCTTTTTTATAGGAATCATTAACCAAACAGTTAATTATACAAGTAGAAAGAAAACTTAGCTTGTGAATTCAAAATGTAGTACTATAATACTATCAATAGGTCATCAAACACAAAATTTAACTGAAGGCACTCACTGCATAATGTGCACTTCATACTGTTTCAGGCAGTAAACATATAAAACAACCGTGCATGTGCATAATAGTGACCTGCACGTGAAAACTCTGATCACTTTTATTCATTTTTTTCCAAAAGTGGGGTTTTGTTTGCTTACTTGTTTTAATGCAGTGCTGAGGACTGAAGCCAGGGCCTCTCACATGCTAGACAAGTTCTCTATCACTGAGCTATACCTCCAGTTCAAAAGTATTTTTACTTCCTTCTAAATAGTGGAAGATTGTTTTGTATTATGAATGGTTGTTCACCAAAAAAAAAAAAGTATTTCCAGAGAAACTGAATTTAGTAATTAAAAAACCAGCAATTCATCTTCATATATTAAGAAAATGAGTACCCTCCCTACAAGATACAAGAAAATTGCATGAAAAACAAAGGGCATCCTTACAGTTTTAACTTAAAATGACACCAATTCAACAATACTTAAAATACTCCATTCAATATTTCTAGTAATTGTTGGAAATACTATAGGGAAACACTGATGCCATTACCATAATGTAATATCACTCCTGGAGAAGAGGTACATACCGAAGTAAGCTCTGAGGAAGCAACCCATATCACATCAACCAGCAGGAGAATAACAATCCCAAGAGCCATCCGCCTGCGTTGAGTGAAACCACTGTTCTGGGAATTCATTCGGTTCATGATAAATACACACACCATTTGCAGTCTGTTTTTTAGAAAACATAGATCTCATTAGAGATGTTTTTAGAAAAATAGCCATATAAAAATGAGATGAGAAGTATAAAGAAACATGGGGCAAATGTTAGCTAATGTGCAGGAGGAAAGTCACATAGCACACAGAATTTACCTTGCTTTAAGGGCCTCTTTGAGATCTTCAAAAGCAATGCCTAAAAATCGGGCAGATCTCAGTCTAAAAGGAGGTGAAGAACTCAGCCCACCTAAAAACCACCACAAAACGATGTTTATAGAAATGTCAACAAATAAGATTCACGTCTTTTTAAATTCACCTTGAAACTGAAAACAAACCAAAGAAAACTACTAAAATGTGTTAAACATAACCGGCATTTTTCTCTAGGCTTTCATGTTACCCATTGTATACTTCGGATTACACTGAGCGAAGTACATGGGACAGGGGAAAGGCAATATTCAACAAGCGGTCTATTAGCTACTCAACGACCAGAAAACTGCTGCTCTGAATTTCACCAAAGCAGAATTTCATCATTCGCCTCTCCCCGAAGAGGAATCCAGCCCACGAACAGAGACTAGACTCACGCCTGGATCTAAAGGTGTCTTTTCTGTTCCTGATCTCCAGTGGAATTTGGTTATCGGAGAGCAAGTGATTTGTTGTGGGTCTTGAGGGTTCCTTTCCATTCATCTCACGTGGTAAGGGAAAGGGATCCTCCTGCTCCCCTACTTATCCTGTGACTACATCCAGTGATTCAGCTCCAAATAGCAATTCCCAGGGAGGGTAGGAGCGTCCCCGCTGGCCCTGGGGACCCGACGCGACCGCTCCTGACAGCCTCCCGCTCCCTCCGCCCCCAGAGATCGTCACCGTCCCGGCCACAGATCCACGGCCGCCACTATGGCTGGATATGGGGCTGCTCGTGTGCACCGGGTTCCAGGTGATTTCGGGGCCCTCGCCTTCCTGCCTGCCTACCTGGCCTTCCTGCCCCGCGATGGCGTCGTGGTGGCACCATGAGCGGACCGGCCGGCCCCGCCGCCGCCGCCCAGCGCCCGGCCGAGGCCCCGCACTCAGACAGCCGTCACGGCACCCGACATAGGGCCTCGCTGGAGGACGAGCCTCTGAAGCCGTGGTGCCCCTCAGGGCAAAGCCACCGATGCCACTCAGCTCCACTCGCCCAGGAGAGCCGGGAAGAAGGAAGAGAACGGACCACGCAGGCAGGGATGGCCGCGGAGAGCCTGAGCTCGGCCCTAGCCCCGCCCCCGCCCCCGACTGGCCAACTCCGCGGCCCCGCCCCCACAGCCCGGTGGTGCCGCGCGTGTTACGTCATGTCGGCGCGACGACCACCCGCACTGGGATGCAGCTCCAGGTTGGTGGAAGTACTGTGTGGGCTGTATCTCAGCCCTGGCCACGGAGGTAGGAGACTTGTCGGTCCTCTAGAAGAGAGGAGATGGGAAAAAAGAGAGAATCGGGCGTAGGTGGCTGAGAAAGACGAAAAGGCAGGGCAGGTGGCGGAGGGTTCAAATCCCCCACCGTGGAGCCAAAGCTTCCGGCTCCACTTATTGCAAGGTTCAGCACGGAACTTAGAATATCCCTTCCTCGAGAACACAAAAGCAGAGTGGCTTGAGCATACTTTTAATTTCCAGAAACGTTTGTATGTAGACGGAATCTTAGTTCTTCGAGTTATTTGCTGTGTCTTAGGGCAAGTTACACATCTCCCTACCCCTCGGTTTTCTGATCTGAAAAATGAAACTAATGATGGTACTTGCTCTATCTGGTTTTTGTGTTTATGCCAGGATAACCTGAGTTTACAGATGTAAAGGATTTGGATAAACTCATGGTACACAGTAAGAGCTCCACAAATGTTAGCCTTATTAAAGTACAGCTCTTTTCTTTCTTTCCCTTAAATACCTTAAATACCTCAACAAAGACTTGGCCAACTTCCTCTTTTATATTATTTGGAAAACACAAGCAAGACTTAAGGATTCTGTAATTTAACTGGAATTGTCTACCACAAATGCATTTTTTATGTCATGAGCAGTTGATAATAATGAAATTTTTCTTACCCCTGTGGTCAGGGTGTAGTGTATTCCTTTTGTTTCACTGAAACACATACTCCTGTGACTAATAATACCATTGAAAATGTTTATCTTGATATGATCAGTTTCTAAGAAACTACTGTCATCAAGCACCTCCAATAAATTATTCAGAAACTTATTTTGCAGAGTAATTACTTCTTAAGGGAATTTGGTTGTAGACATTAACCAAATTATTCCAGCACTTAACTACAGTTAAGTTCCCGACTTAGGAAGGAGTTCCGTTCTGGGAGAATGTTCATAAGTTGGATTCTTTCCTAAATCTGACAACCTGAGTTTTATGTATATTGCTTTATGCTTCCTAGCAGGCCCCTCCACATCACCACTGCTTTTCTTCTTGCTTGTGGACACCCTTGGCTCTGATTGAACACTACTACTGTACACTACCTCACTGTACAATAAGCACACAGTAGCACAACTGACAATGTCTGGCAGACACATAAACTACATCTACGATTTGTTCACATCTAGGATTATTCATAATGCAAGGTCTGTTTGTATCTGAAAGTTCACAACTTGAATGTTCCTAAATCAGAGACTTAGTGTAATTTATTCATTCTTTTATTAACATTCTTTAGGATGTCAGGCTCATAATATGTTTAAAGATTTTTATGCTACCTATATGATGTATAGTCTGAAAAAATAATAGCATTATGAATATCTCTCAGAATTAAAAGCAGAAAAGCTAGATTCTAGTTCTTAATCTGGCCACAATTTGTTGTGTAATCTTAATGATTATCAACACTATTGTGACTGAGTTTCTCCATCAATAAATGCTTCTTAATTAAAAATAATACAAATAATAGTACTTTGTAAATATAAGTTACTATTATTACCATCTCTATCCAGAGTATCTGTTAAAGAACAGTGCTGTCTCCCACAGTGGTTGTACATCACAAAACTAGGATTAGAGATCCCATTTGACCCAGCTATTCCTCTGCTGGGTATCTTCCCAAAAGAATTAAAAGAATCATACCACAGCGATATATGCACACCCATGTTTATAGCAGCACAGTTTGTAATAGCTAAAGCTTGGAAACAGCCCAAGTGCCCATCAACTGGAGACTGG